AAAAAAAAATCTTAAAAAAATAAGTATACATGATAGTGGGATTGATTATGACATTGTGCATGCACCTAATATAATTAGGTCCCTTTCATTCCCCAGAACCTTCCCTTTCCTCCCCTCCTCCACCTCTCATCCCTTCCTCTACTGGTGTCCTTATATTTTCATAAGATCTCTCCCACACCTTTTTTCCCCCCCTCTGCCTTTTACATATGAGAGAAAACATGTGACCCTTGACCTTCTGAGTCTCCGCCTTGTCATTTTTGACGTTCACCAACTCGTTTCGCTCTGTGCAGAGAGAGAGCAGAATCGGATGCACCCACTCTGCCTTCCCTGGGAACAGCACACGGTGAGTTGGATCAGTAGCCTGGGCTCTGGGACAAATTGCATTTGGAAATTGTATTTATGTATCAAAAAACTAATTACTGCCAAGTTCCACCTCAGTAGTACTTGATGATTTCATTATTCCATCTAATTGCACTTCTATTCGGGATAAGAGTTTACTGTCTTTTAATTGACAATGGAAATTGAAGGTACCAAAAAAAAAAAAATGTGAATGGATATGAAACAGCTTTTTTTTCAACTGACTTCTGGCCCGTGGAAAACAGAATAACTTTTCACCACTTTCAAAACTATAGACCTTTGTTTCAGTTTACTCCTGTCAAGTGGCCTGTGGGGTCTGCCACCCTCACTGCTAGTTTGCAGACACCTTCAGGAATGCACCTAAGTGGTGTCTGGTTTTGAATCGGTGGTTTTCACTGCCCCAAAACCACAGATGGCTTCGTCCTACAGACACCTGACCTTCTTCCTCTAATATCAGAGGGGAGCAGTGGAAGTCACGTTTCTTCATACCCCTGTGGAGAGGGGATCGGTGACACTGTCCCCACTTCCAGCACAGCTGTGTTCCCAACTGGGACAGAGGAAGCGGGGGGGGCGAGACTCCTGGAGCCACTGGGTTGGAGAGTGGAGCGACCTTCTTCAGCCACTCACCAGCCTGGGTAGGCAGGGTCTCCCATCACCCTGGGCCCTGCCGTGCTCCGGTAGATTAAAGCAATGATGGCTTTTCTGTAAACATCATTCCTGGTTTGTCATCGTGTACATAGGGCAAATAGGGCAGCGGGGACAGCCGCCGACACAGAAGGAAGACACTCAACTCTCAAAACCTAACGGGAAGACTCCCATCCTCCACCTCCACCCAGAAACAAGGAACCCCTGGGTGCCCCTGCATAATGACTTTTGTTCTTTAAAAATCATTCAGGGAACTGTCACACAGAGATCCGGGGGAGAAGGGATATTTTCAAAGTGGTGGCCTTCCTGACCCCTCCATCAAAGGAAGAAAGGTTTCCTGGCTGACTGGCTGTCTTGTGCGCTTCCCTCTCATGATCAAACCCCTAGTCCCCCGGCCTCTCACATCTTTGCCCCTTTTGAGTGTCTCTGTTTGGCTTGTGTCTCTGGGCAGTCAGTCAGTTGGAGAGAGCAGGTAACCACAGGGAGCTGAGATCTCAGAGCCATCAGGCCACTGGAGCACCCGCGCACAGTCCTCTTCAGAAGATGGTGTGGCCGGGGCTCCCGCTCCAGTCAGGTCCTTAATAGGCTTCAGTTCCTGGTTCCACGGTATCTTCCAGAGCAGTAAAGTACTCTCTGAACCTCTGTCTCTTTCTCAGTCTTCCTCATCCTCATCATCTTCCTCTTCATCTTCCTTTTGTGTTATAACTTCTTCTTCTTTTTTTTCAAATTTGTTGTCATTAGTCATATATAACAGTAGGATGCACTTTGGCACATCATACATAAATGGAGTATAACTACTCATGCTTCTGGTTGTACATGATGTAGAATCACATGGGTTGTGTAACCATATATCTGCAAATAGG